GGTCGCATATGAGCGGGGAATATACCCTTAAAATTAAAGCCTCCAGCTTTCCCGTTCCCGACTTAGCAGTTTTCCGATCAAAATTTTCACGTGTCCGTGCGTGAGTACCAAACGGTTCTAAGGAGCTGAATCTAAAATTTTTTGGTCATACATAGATAGAGAACATAACCCTAAAGTTTCAGCTTTTTAGCTTTTTTCCTTCCTGGGTTAGTGGTTTCGCGCCAAATTCCCACGTGCCCGTACGTGAGCCCCGGATGCCTCTAAACACCTGATTTCGCTCGTACATAAGTAGGGAACATCCTCTTAAAGTTTCAGCTTTCTAGCTTTTCTCGTTGCCGAGTTAGTGATTCTCGCGCCAAAATTTTCGCACGCCCATACGTGGGCTCGGGCGCCACTAAACACCTGATTTTGCTCGTATATGAGTGGGGAACATTCCCTTAAGGTTTCAGCTTTCTAGCTTTTCCCGTTCCCGGGTCAGCGATTTCCGCGCCAAAATTCCCATGTGCCCGTACGTGAGCCCCAAATGCTTCTAAACATCTGATTTTGCTCATACATGAGTAGGGAACATTCCCTTAAAGTCTCAGTTTTCTAGCCTTTTCCGTTCCCGATTTAGTGATTTCGCGCCAAATTCCCACGTGCCCGCACGTGAGCCCCGGATGCCTCTAAACACCTGATTTTGCTCGTATGTGAGTAGGGAACATTCCCCTGAAGTTTCAGCTTTCTAACTTTTCCCGTTCCCAAGTTAGTGGTTTTCGCGCCAAAAATTCCACGTGCCCGTACATGAGCCCCGGGCAATCCTGGGCAGCTGAATTTGAAAGTTTTAATCGCGCATGGGCGGGGAATACTCCCCCAAAGTTTCAACTTTCTAGCATTTTTTCGTTCGCGAGTTATGAATCTTCTCGCCATAATTTTCACGTGACCACACGTGAGCCTCGGGCAGTCCTGAGCAGCTGAGTTTGAAATCTTTTTGTCGTATACGGGTGTGGAACATTCTCCCAAGGTTTCAGCTTTCTAGCTTTTCTCGTTCCCGAGTTAGCGATTTTCGCGCCA